GGTCAGGGGCTCAGTCATGCTGGTGCCTGGATGAGAAACGGCTTCACCTCCCAGGGTGCAGCAGGGCTGGTCAGAGGCATGGGACCGAGACTGATGGGGAGGCAGGTGATCGAATTTCTAGTCCCTGTTGGCCACCAGCTTGCTGAGTGGTCTTGGTCGAGTCAGTTCCTCTCTCTGGGTTTCAGTGTTTGCAGGTGTGAATTGGGAGCGACTGCCTGGCTCGGGGGTCCTTCCAGCGGAGGCCCCGGGTTCTCTGCAGTGCTGCAGGGGCGAGTGTTTGGGGCCTTTCTAGCCAGCACCCTGCCTGCCCAGGGCACCTGCCTGCCCAGCGCATGTCCCCTCCAGGCTCCTCCTCTTGGGTTCGTGGTGAATCCTCCTCTCCACTGCCTGCCACTGAACTGCTCCTTCCGAGTCATTGTTGCATGCCTACTGTATGCCCCACTGCCACTTGCTGGGCTCTTGCAGTCAGAGCACTGACAGTTCAGCTGGGGAGATGGGGAGGCAGGACACTTGCCCAGGACAGTGAGGGGTTGTGTTACTTTCCTCTTACTGCTGTGACAAAGTACCACTGTCTTACCAGCTTTAACTGACACAGATCTGTCATCTTCCAGTTCTGTGGGTCAGAGGTTCCGCTGGCCTGAGATCAAGAGGTCGGCCCAGCCCGTTCGCTCTGGAGGCTCCAGGGAATCTGTTTTCTTACTTTTTCCAGCTTCTAGAGGCCACCCACAGTCCTTGGTTTGTGACCTCCTTCCTCCATATTTAAAGCCATCAGTCTGGCACCTTCCAATCTCTCTCTCTCTGAGTCTGACCCTCCTGCCTCCCTCATCCAGATGGGCCGGAGTACTCACAAGGGATGACCCGGGTACTCCTCCACGTCGAGTCTTTAAGGCCACCTGCAAAGTCCTTTTGCATGTCACAGATTTCAGGGATTAAGACTTGGGCCTCTTGGGGGCCATTATTCTGCGTATTACAGGTGTCAAGATAGTCCCTGCTTCCAAAGTCATCTGGTGGCGCAGAAGTCCTGCCCAGGCCTTGCTTGGAGCCAGTCTTGGGTTCAAATCCCAGTTCTCCCAACTGTGAGCTGCACAGCCATCGCAGGCAGACCTGCCAGCTGCTCCGAGCCTCGGTTTCCTTATCTGTAGATCAAGGATCATAATACCCATCTCACGGGCTTACAGTGAATATTCGAGATACTGCGGGGAGGGTGCCAACCACAGCACCCAGTCCAGAGTAGCCTCTCGATCAATGATCTCATCTTCTTGAATTTCTAGCTGGCATAAAACATGCTTTCTGGTTCCGGGTGGACTGCAGTGGATGGGCCAGGACAGGGAGTGGACGAGGCTTGAGGTCCCCCTGCCCTCCTGCAATGATGTCCTGGGGACGGGGCATGGGGTAGGAAGGGTTCATGGTCCTCACATGCACGGGCTGTCTGGGCCAGGCCCAGCCCCTCCTGTCTCCATCTGAGTCTTTCATCCATGCCACTCGCACTTGCTGGACCCCTACTGAGATACAGGGACAGTGGTGAACAGGACAGACACACGCGCTCCCAAGAAACTTACGCTCTCGTGTGTGTGGGGAAGGAGCATTCAATAGACAAGAAAGCTATTATGTACACAGAATACGTCTTTGTTCCTGTAAGCCACAGAGACCTGGCAATCATCTTTTACTGTGGTGCAGCCTCACCTGGCCTCGCTAACAGGCTGAAGGTGGAACTGGAGAACTGCCGAGAAGCCTGGCTCTGGGCGAGATGAGAGACGAGGTGGCCTGGTCCAGGGAGGTGGGGGGACGAGGGCTTTTCTCCCATCATTAAGGCTTTGGGAAGTGCATCCTCTGGCTAGGGTTCTAGCTCTGGCTGGGAGTCAAAGAGGGAGGAGCTGACTGGGAGTGACATTCCCTCTCTGCCTTGGAGCCCACGGGGACCACAGAGCCTATTTCCTGGGTGCACGGGCCTCAGCCTTCTGGTCCCCTGGGCTGTCACCCAGAGCCACTGGTGGCTCAACTCCACACCCAGGTGGCCTGCCTCACCTGAAGACGCAAATGCCTCTGATGTGAGGGCTGGCTTGCACATGGCATTGGGACAGAAGCTACTATTTTGGGGTTGATGTCCAGGGGCCTAAATGGAGCCAGCAAATTTTGGTATCCTTTTCATCCTGAGAGGAGGCAGGCTGAAGGCTCCGGAAGTATATCCTCTACAGGAAAGACAGGGGAGAAGGTGGCACAGGGCACAGGAGAAGGGTCTCCAGTGGTTTGTGCATCAGCTGGGGAACCTTTCCTGTCTCTAAAAAGCCACCCGCTGGGTGGGCAGGGCAAGACTTGGCGTGCTGAGAAGGCCAGTTCCAGGACAAAGGACTCTGCTTGTTGTTGATAACAGCCACACTCACTATTTACTACTATGAATACCAGGTAGTGTGCTAAGTGCTCTAAGTACACAGCCTTGTTTAATCTTGATGACAATCCTGGGAGGGAAGGATCACCCAGATTAAACATGACAAAAGCAATATGTGCTTGATGGGCAATTTTAACTGTTATCGAAGTAGAGAAGGTAGTTTGTGAATGCCTCTGCGGATATCACCCCCAGGCGTATTCATTCCTCTTTCTATTTTGTAGAAGAGAAAATGGAGACTCAGAGAATAACGACAATACCGGCAGCTAAGATTGCCAGAGCAGCTAGGGTGGCAGGCTCTGCCAGGCGCTTCTAACGCGCTGTCTCGTATAATCCTCATTAGAATTCTTGGACGAAGGTAGCTATATCGTCCCCATTTTATGGATGAACAACTGAGCCTCAGAGGCCCAGTCAAAGGGCCCAAGGTCACAAAGGAGGTCAAGACGGAGCTGGGATTTGACCATAAATCTGTCAGAAAACATTTCAAGTGTCTGCTGATTCCTCACTAGGTTCCAGCCCTGTGTCAGGAGCTGGGGGACAGATGTACGAGATGCCCACCCCGGCCTCGGGTGGCCACATTCTCAGGGAGAATAGGAGGACACCACGACACTGATAAGGTCTTCTGTGTAAACCAAAGGGTTGTATTTAAGCTTTAATCTTTAAGCATTTGTATTTAAGGAGAGTGAGAGAGGGGGACCCTGGTGAAGGCTTGGGAGCAGTTGGAAGCCTTGAGGGACTAAGGTGACCAGAAAGAGCCCTGGACAAGGAATTGCTGGTTCTGGCTTTTGTCCCCGCTCTCCCATCACACATACTCATCAAACACCTCTGAGCACCTTCTACTGCTGCCAAGGTCATGGAGAGCCAGCGTCCACTCTTGTAGAGCTCCCAGTCTTACGGGAAGCCGCCCCTGAGCAGGGGTGAGAAACATGAAAGTGGAAATGAGGTCATACTTCTTACTGTGGCCCTCGAGGCCATGCTGACCTTTGACCTCTCTGGCCACAGTTCCCTTTCTCTGTGCTCCAGCCTCATGAGTCTTCTCTCAACTTCTTGAATGGGCCAGGTTTTCTACACCCACAGGGCCCTTGCACATGCTCTCTCTGTTTTTTCTTCAGATCTCAGGTTTCTCATCGTGTCATCAAGGAAGCATTCCTGATGCTCATGGCAAAGTCAAGGGCCACCCATTAGATGCCCTTATGGCACTTAGGGCTGTGGAGTGAGTAAAAACCCTCAGTCCACAAACTCAGATGTGCAAGAAATGGAATCTTCTTTATTTTTGTGTTGCATTGGTCTATTTATCTCTCCTTGCATTAATACTACACTATCTTAATGACTTTAGCTTTATGTCTTGATATTCAGTGGTTTAAGTTCCTTAACTTTGTTCTTCTTCAAGATTGTCTTGGCTATTCTTAACCTTTGCATTTTCATAAAAAATTTTGAATTAACTTAGTTTTCACCAAAAAATTCGGCTGAGATTTGCATTTGGATTGCCCTGAATCTATGGAGAACAGACAGTTTTATAACATTGAGTCTTCTAATCCATGAACATGGTATACTCTTCATTTTAAGTCTTTAATTTCTTTGAATAATGTTTTATAGTCTTTTTGTGTAGAGGTCTTATACATCTCATTTTAGATTTATTATTAGTTATTTGATATTTTTTATTCTATTATAGATTATATATTTTTACGTTGTATTTTCTAATTATTATTACCGGTATATAGAAATACAATTGTTTGCTAAATTTTCCAATTAATTTTAATTTTTTGTAAATTATTTTAGATTTTCTATGGACATGACCACACTGTCTCTTGCTTCTTCCTTTATAACCTTTATGCCTTTTTTTTTCTTATCTAATTGCTCTGGCTAGGATCTCCAGTATGATATTGAGTAGAGGTGGTGATAGTAGATGCAATTGCCTCATGAGTGATCTCAGAGGAAGGGTCTCGATATTTTACTATTAGGTGTGATGTTTGGTATGGTTTTATATAGATACTTTTTATCAGGTTAAGGACATTTTTCTTATTTTTCATATTTTCTTAGAGTTTTAAAATCATGAATGTGTGCTGAATTTTATCAAATGATTTTTTCGCATCTATTGAGATGACTGTATGATTTTTATCCTTTATTTCCTTTATTGTATTAAAATGGTCAATTACAATAATTGATTTTTAAATGTTAAACCAAACCTCTCATTCCTGCGGAGAAAAACCCCAACTTGATAATAATCTAAATACATGTGGATTTGGTCTGCTTATGTTTTGATGAGGATTTTTGCATTTATCTCATTTAATCCTTAGAAGAACTCTTTAAGGAAGATTATTATTATCTCCATTTTACAAATGAACAACTGAGACTTAGAGGTGTTAATTAATCATGAGAGAAATTGATCTTTATTGATCTTTAATTTCTTTTCTTGCAATGTTTTGGTGTCAGGGTTATACTGACCTCAAAAATGTGTTAGAAAATGTTATTTTAAAATATATTCTCTGTAACCAATTTGTGGAAGATTGGTATCACTTCTTCCTTATATGATCAGAAGAATTCACCAGTGAAACCATCTATGCCTAAAATTTTCTTTGTGATACTTTTTTTTAAAATGGATGTTTCCTTTAAAATACATAGGACTACCCAGATTTTCTATTTCTTCTTCTGTCAGTTTATGTTTAGTTGAATTGTGCAAGGAGTTTGTCCATTTCATCTAGATTATCGAATTTATTAGTGTAAAACTTTACACAGTATCTTTTAATTAATTTTTAAATCTATGTAATATCTGTAAACTCTGTAGTGACGTCTCCTTTATTTCATTTCAGATTTTGGTTATTTATGCCTTCTCCTACACAGAACCTGCTTCAGGAAGCTCAGTGAAGCTACCCCAGCTCCTATCAGCTCACACGCCACACAGCCACTGTTTACTCTGGGATCTTCCTGCCTCCCTGTTTTCTCCCTGGAAGTGAGATTTATAGATTTTTCAGATCCTATGAAGCTCTCTGGGGTTCCATTGTCCTCCTATAATTCTTGCCTGCAGGAATATAATGTGGGGTCCACCTTTCTCAGGGTGCCACAATCTCTACGCCGCCCCAAATTCCCTATGCCACCCCACTACACACATACACATTTGGACTTACATCAGCCCAGGAATCTTTACATAATCCGAGGGTTGGGGGAATTTGCTCTCAAACCTTACACAATCTCCAAAATTTCTCCACGACCTGAAGTTTTGATTTCCTTTTTGAAATTCAAAAGCCAGGAAGAGACTCCTGTTTTCTCTTCCTGCTGTCTCATTGCTTCCTTGACCTCGGTCAGCCCAGAGCATCGAGAGATGGGGTGAGTGGCTAGAGGTGAAGCCTGGGGAGGAGGTGGGTGAGCTTGAGTAAGTCATTTAATCCCTCGGAGCCTCAATTTCCCCAGCTGTAGGATGAAGGTAATGACTCCCAACCTGCCTCATTCATAGTATAACAAAAAGGATCAAAGGAATCCTCAAAAGCAAGGGCACTTAAAGAATGTTTATTTTATTGTGAACTATGCCATCCACTTAAAAGGGTATATAAACATACGCATACTGTTTAAGTAATGATAATAATTAATACAATAAAGTACAGTATAATAATATACAATAATTATAAAACAGACGCCTATGTCCACAGCACTCAGCTCAAGACATTACTGTACCTTTGAGACTCCTTGTGGGTCTTAACCGCTTCTTATCTTTCTCCCAAGAGGTAACCAACATACAGAATTTTGCATTAGTCATTCTCTTTCTTCTCCTTATAGTTTTACTCCCTAAAAAGATAGCTCTTAACAATGTAATCTTTTTAGCTTTGCCTATTTTTGAGCTCTATATAAATGAATCCTACTGTACGTCTTTTTCTGTGACTTGCTTCTTTCGTTCATCATTGTGTTGTGAAATCCAGCTGTGTGTTTTTGTGTGGCTGTAATTCATCCCTTTTCACTGCTGAGTAATATTCCATTGTAGGAATATACCACAACGGACTTACCCATCTCCTACGGAAGGGCATTTGGATTATTTCTTGTTGGGTTATTTTAAATAATGCTACTATGAACATTCTTGTAAGCATCTCCACATCACAGCTGTGACCCAGGCAAACCAAAGATTTTCTTTAGGAGTGAAATTGCTGAGTCTTAGGATGTGTGCCTATTTAATTCAGAAATATTATTTACTAGATGTGTTAGTTTCCTATAGCTGCTGTAACAAATTATCACAAACTTAGTGGCTTAAAAAAACACACTTACTATCTTAAAGTTCTGAAGAGAGAGGTCCGAAATGGTATTGTCAGGGCTGTGTTCCTTTTGGAGGCCGTAGGGAAGAATCTGTTCTTGGCCTTTCCAAACTTCCAGGGGCTGCCTCCATTCCTGGCTCATGACCCCATCCTCTATCTTCAAAGCTGGCAGTGTAGTATCTTCAAATCTCTCACTCTGAGGCCTTCCCCACCCACTTATGAGGACCTTCTGATTATATTGGGCCCACCTGAGTAATCCAGGATCCTCTCCCCATCTCAAGGTTAGCTGATTAGCAAACTTAATTCCATCTAAAATCTTAATTCCCCTTTGCCATATATTCATATTCATAAATTCTGGGGATCAGGATGTGGACATCTTTGTCAGGGAGACATTATTCTGCCTACCACACCAGATAATGCACGATTGTCTTCTGAAGCTGTTGGGCCTATTTATAATCCCACCAGCGCAAGCTCATTCCCTTGGTTCCTTCAAAAACCACGTTTCACGTTTTTAACTCATTTTTTTATATTTTATGATAATTTCTTATTTTGAAATGGTTTAAAATTCACAGGAAGTTATAGAAATAGCACGAACGTATACCCTTTGCCCAGCTTTTACATGCACTTTCTTGCATTCTTTTATTTTTTTTGTTGTATGGTTCTGTGAGATTTTATCTCGTGTATAGATCTGAGCAACCGTCACCACAATCAGGATAAAGACTCCTTTCACACGCGAAGCACAGTGCAAAGCTTCAAGATCCATCACGAAAAGGCCGGCCCTGGAGGCCTCGTGGGTAAGAAGAACGGCTCAGAGCCGGGGAATGTCTGGGGTGCAGCCGCGAGGGAAGCTAACAGAGGGTCTTGGCCCTTGAGGTGCTGATCTGTTGGGGGACAGCCCTGCCCACGGGGGTCCCAGTGAGGGTCGCCTTGGCCAGGTCCTTCCCGGTGCACCTGAGCACGTGGGTGGTGGGGAGGAGCAGCGATTTGAACTCCTCCAGATTAATCCCGCTAAGTCGCAACCATATTGATATGCTATTATTTTCCATCTTTATCCATCCCCCGGCGAAGGGAGAAGGAGTCCCCCCAGGCCATTCATAATTGAAAAGTGCTTTTAGGGCCTTTATGAGTTGAATACTAAATTTCGCGAGGTGCCTGCTTTATCGGGCCTCCAGTCACCGATGATACATTCGCTCCCTAATGTTCTTTAAGGAAAGGGGCTCCCGCGGCATGATGGATGGCCCGATCTGAATCGATGCTCATTAGTGACTCCAGTGGCCGGGTGGACCCGGGCTGCTCACTCGAGTGGACAAACCAGGCAGGGGACTGGGTCTTGGCCAGAGACCAGGGCGAGGCCTGTCAGCTGCCATTTGCCTTGGACTCTGACTTATCATTCATTCACTCATTCATTCATTCAATAGATTCTTACTGCCAGCTGTGAACCAGGCCCGATGCTGGGCACAGAAGTGTATCAGACCCAGCCTTGTCCTCCAGGAGCTCCTGGGACACACACACAAATAAAGACACTAGGGTGGCGTGTGTCTAATGCTGGGAGTGTGCTCGGGGCTTGGGAGCCTGGGTGGGGGTGGTGGGTGGTTTCACACAGACAGGCTGGTGGGCAGGTAAATCTTTGTGTTCGAGGGGACATAGTGGTGTGCCATAAGCGTTTGTGATGTGAGCGAAGGAGCTCGCCAGGGTGGGGAGTTGTTCCTGGCAGAGAGAGGGACACAGGCAAAGGCTTGGAGGTGTGACCCAGGCTGCAGCGTGGAAATCCAGCTGCTTGTCTTCTTAGATGAGTCGACCTGGTGGCTTCCAAGGCCGAAGTTGTAATCCTACTGATCCGACTCACAGAATCCCAGAACCGGCAAAAACAGAACAAGAAGGATCCTCAGAAAACATCTGGCTCAACCCCTCGTGATTCTGATGGGCAACTGAGGTCTGGAGAAGGGAAGGGACTTGCTCTCAGTCTCGCAGCCTGGTAATGGGGAAGGCCAGGACAGCTGTGGCCTCGCAGGGACCAAAGTTCTGCTTCGGCATTGGCCTTGGGCCTTAGTTTGTCATTACATGCAAACATGGGTTCATTACATGAAACTGGACGTCCCTCCTGCTCCCCAACTCTGTGAAGCCCAGAGAGAGCAAAAGTCTTATGTGGGTCACACAGCTATCGGTGACACAGGTGGAGGGAGGGTGGGGACATAAAGGTAAATTTGAACGAGGAAAGGTGGGTGGTGGGAGGAGGCTAAGATTTGCTGAGTGCCTGGGATGATGGGCTCCCTGTTTGCCTCTCTCCTTTAATCTCTAACCTTGGTGGCCTTGGTGGCACACTGTACAAACCTATTCTGCAAATGAGGACTGAGAGGCGAGGTGGCTTGTCCAAAGTCACACTAGGGGGATCTAGGATTTGAGCTCAAATTATTTTTTCAAATTTCAAAGCCCATGTGCCTCCCACTGTCCTCAGCTGTCCCCTCAGGGCCTTGGAGACAGGACAACTGCCTCTTCTGTGGTCCCAGGTCTCTGACCTCCACCCACCAATGTTAAAGCCTGTGTCAAGTCAAACCATGACCAAGTCAGCCTTGTCCTTTGTTCTCCCTGAGAAGGCCATTGCTCAGTCTCTGTCCAACAATTTGGGAGTAGTGGGGGTGCGGCCAGGGAGAGGGCAGTGAAGATGGGCAGAAGGGGCGGGCCCAGGGCCTCAGCTCTGGATCTCTACTTCCTCCCGGGGCAGGCCTCTCTCCCCAGGGCCTGCTGAGGACCCCAGAGGCCTTGGTCTGGCCCAGGGATGACACAAGGATGAGGGACAGTCAGGCCTCTGACCCCTGCAGCTGGTCCCAGGCCTTGTGCTTGAGCTGGGGCCTTGGGATTTGAGGCCCTTCTCCCTGAGCGATACCATCCCCATGTGTGGCCCACACAGGCGCTGGGGGCAGCAGAGCTCCGTGCCTGCAGCTCTTGCCTCCCCCTCTGCCCGGGGAGTCGGCCATAGGCAGCACAGCCACCTGCACCGTCACAGAGCCCAGCTCGGTCTCACTGACAGGCGGCCTTCACTCAGGGGACCTCACCCAGGAGGCCACAGCCAGGATGGCTTGGCCGATGGGCCCCTGCCCTTCCTGGCTCATGGATCCACCCACCATGCAGCCCTGAGCTGGACCCAGGCTGGCCAACAGCCCAGCAGTTGCAGTGGTTCCCCCATGGGAGCCAGGCGGCCTGGGGCTTCCTTCCTCCCTCCCCAGGCTCCACCCCTCCAGGATGTTCTTCCTTTTCCTCAAAATGCTGCCCTTCTTCTTACCCTGGAGCGTTTCCCCAAACCTCTGATGGCCAGCTCCTGGACACTCGGGTTGCAGCTCCAGCGTCCCCTCCTCAGAGAGGAGCCCCAACCTAGAGAAGTCCCCTCCTGGGTTGGGCACCCTGTCAGGTCCCTGCTCCGTTCCCTAAGGCACTTACCTCTCTGGAATCCCCTTGTTGATGTGTTTGTTTATTTATGCATTGTCTGTCTCCCCTCAGGGACATCACATTGATTATCGATTAAACAGTGCAGGGAGAACGGGCGAATGGCCGCTGACCTGACTCTCACTTGGAGCTTCACAGGGGCTCCGTGATTCTCGGTTAAAGGTACACTGGACCCGGGTTTGAATCCCTGCTCTGAACTTTTGGCTGAATGAGAATAAACAAGGGACCTCTGTCTTATCACCTGGAGAGTGGGACCCACGCCAGCTCTCTCCTGGGTGTTTGAGTAAAGGAGAGCAGGCAGGGGTCTCGGGCGGCATGCGGCTGGAGCTCCCTGCAAGGCAGTGGATGCATCGCTGGGCCAAAGGTTTCCTCGGGGTGAGGGGCCGGGCTCAGGGCAGGCTGGGTATGGGCCAGCTCTGGGCCTCAGTTCCTCCAACTGAGACATGACTCATTTTTCATGAAGATACAGGAGGTTTGGGAAAATGCTCCAGAGCAGAGATCTGTGGAGCAGAGACAGGAGCACACACTGGGTTTGAGCCACAGCTCAGACAATCACCAGCTGTGTGATCTTGGCAGAGCACTTAACCTCACTGAAGCTAGCTTCCCAGGCAGATATGGCACCAGCCCTGAGGACCCCAGCTCAGGATGCTGCCCCTGGGGTGCTCACGGGAGATGCTGAGTGGAAACAGATGGCAAGGAACAGTTACTGCCCAGTGTGGAGCATGCATGCATACGGGAAGCCCAGGGGCTACAGAAACCAGCAGAGGGCTTCCTGGAGGAGGTGGCGTTGAAGTCAAGACCCAAAGGGTGAGGAGTGAGGAATGGAGAGAAAGAGTTCCAAGCAGAAGGAACAGCATGTGCAAAGGCCCAGAGGTGAACAAGCTTGTTCTCCATAGCCTCTCATACTGGCTTTAAAGCCATCCCTCCCTCCAGTGGCCCTCCACCCCTTTCCAGGAGAGTCCCGGTTTTTAAATATCCCAGTCTAACGTGGAGGCTGTGGTTCTCTGAACTCAGGCAGTTGGTCATCAGCATCTCTATTAATTAGCTCGAGCTGCTATAACGAAATACCCAAGGCTGGGAGCTTAACCAACAGACATTTATTTCTCACAGTTCTGGAGGCTGGAAGTCCAGGATCAAGGTGCCAGCCGATTAGATTCCTGGTGAGGACCCTCTTCCTGCCTTGTAGCCTGCCACCTCCTTGCTGTGTCCTCACACGGCAGAGACAGAGAGAGTGACCTGTCTTCCCCTTCTTATAAAGCCACTAGTTCCATCATGAGGCCCCGTCCTCAGGCTGTCTAATCCTAATTACCTCCCAAAGGCCCATCACACGAAGGTCCTAGGGCTTTAACAAATGAATTTGTGGAGACAGTTCAGTCCACACAGCGTCTGCCAGAGGGCCAAGGGAGAACAGGGGCACACGGAGCTGGAAGGACCCTCGTGGTTTTCTTCTGGAGGCTTCTCAGCCCCATGAGGGCAGGCACTGTGTCTGTCTGGGGCCCAGAACCCTGCGTGGCACCTAGTGGGTGCTTGGGACATCCAGCACACTCCTATCATTCGGAGAAGCGGAGGCTGAGCCGGGGCAAAGGACGTGTCCAGCATCACACCAAAGGCTAATGGCCAAGCTGGGACCTGGACTGGCCCTCACGCCAGGCAGCCCCCCAATCTGGCACAGGATGAGGTTTCAGGTCCCACAGGGCCCAAACGGGGTTGGATCCAGAGGCAGTGAAGACCAGGGGGGTCAGCACTGCTGTCTCTTCCTTCAGCCTCAGCTTCATCCTTGCATTCGACAATTGTTTATCACATACATGCTATGGGCCAGGACCGTTCTCGTGCTGGGGATATAGCAGCGAACACAACTGACAAGGTATCTGATTTCACAGAGCCTCTCCTAGTGGGGAGAGACAGACAATAAACAGGATTAATAATTAAAATAGATAGGATGCCAGGTGATGGCAAGCGCCATGGAGAAAACAGAGCAGAGCAAGGGGGTGGGGGGCTCTTACAGACCGACGTGTCAGAAGCATCTCTGAACAGGGGACGTGAAGGAGCGAGACCCGACAGAACACACAGTGCTTTTAAAACCTTCACGAATTCTTTACTACTCTTCCCTCAAGAGATGGAGCTTGAGCATGGACTCAGCCTCCCTTTGAGTGTGGACTGGACTTGGTGACTCGCCTTTAACAAGTGGAATGTGCCAGAAGTGATGCCTCTGACTCCTGGGTAGGTTATAAGATACGTCGCTGTTTCCACCTCCCTCTCTCTCTTGGATCACCTGCCCTGGGGAAAGCCAGCTGCCATGTCATGAGGATGCTCAAGCAGCTCGGTGGGGAGGCCCATCCAGGAACTAACCTCTCTGCTCCCAGCCAGGGAGGAACTGAGGCCTCCTGTCAACAGCCACATAAGGGAGGCACATGGGAAGTGGGCCCTCCAGCCCCAGTCAAGCCTCCACATGAGGGCAGCCTCCTCAAAGAGCCTGAGCCAGACCCTGCCACTCCTGGGGTCTGACCCACAGAAACTATGTGATAATGAATGTTTGCTGCTTTAAGCCACTAAATTTTGGGGTAATTTGTTATGTGGCAACAGATAACAAACACAGAAGGGGAGGAGCCAACCATATGGATACCTGGGGGGAGAGTGATCTGAGCAAAGGGGACAGCAGGTGCAAAGGCCCTGCGCCTCCATGCTGGGAGGGTGAGGATTCCACCTGTGGCTCAGCGCTTGTCTCTTTGGTCCTCAATTTATTCATGTGTCAAAAGACATTATCCGATGAGAAATTTGATTAGAGAACTAGGAAGGCTCAGAGAGTAGGGCCTAGTGCCCAATAGGTCCTCAGTAAAATGGTCTGGATGGATAAAAGATGAAAGGATGGAAAGAAAATTGGAAGAAAGAAGGAGAAAAGATAGGAGGAAGGATTGGAAGAAGATGGGGGAGAGATGGGAAGAGGGATGAGAGGATGACCCGGAGGAAGGGTGAGAGGGAGGATGGGAGAAGCGGTAGGAGGAGGGAGAGCAGGAGGAATGGGAGGAACTGGGAGGAGGGTGAGAGGAGGACTGAGGCTGGAAGGAAGACTGAGAGGGATGGCGGATGAATGAATGAATGAACGAACGAACGAATGAGCACATGGCTGGGTGAACACAGTTCCTCCAACTACTGCGGCTCCGTCCACCCAGACCGGAGCTGTGACCGGCTGGCTGGCCAGCGAGCTCGCTCGGTTAACCAGGCCTCTGTTTTACTAACGCCCTCTTCTGCAGCAAAGGCAATTAGAGCAAACGGCTGCAGCTTCTCCCCAGGCAGCCCCACCTGCCCTGTCCTGTCCCATTAACTTCCAATTCAACAGCCATCCCCGACCTGCAATGTATAATGAAAGACATTCAAAATATATCCAAATGGCATGAGTATTGATTTATTAATGCTGGGGAATGTTGCTCTAATTGAATTGAGATCCAGGAAGTAAGTTAATGTAGCTGACGGTGCTACAGGAATTGAATTACCCCAGGGCCCAGAATGATTACCTTTTCACTCTCTTTGTTGTCAGTGGGATAAATAACAAATCAATTGACGATTCACCCTGGTGGCAAAAAAAAAAAAAAAGGTCCACAGAGCCCTGGACACAGAGCTGGGGAATGGGCGTGGGTGAGGGGCGGGGAGCTTCCTGGAGGAGGTGGAGTGGGAAGGAGAGAAGAGAGGAGGGTCTGTCCCAGGCCCATAGCCCTCCCTTCTCTAGTCCAGCAGCCAGAGTCCCCTAGAACACCAGCTGCACAGCCTGGAATGGCCATCACTGCTCACTGAGAGCATCCCCCAATGTACTCTGAGGCCAGAGAGGGAGAGGGCCTTGCCCCAAGTCACACAGCGAGTCTGCCGGTAATCCTCACCACCACTCTGGCCTCAGAGATGTTAGCTCTTTTCCTACAGCCTCTTCAGATGTCTGCTAGGGTCTCTCCTGCTCCCTCCTGACCCGGCTTCCCTGCCCCTGAGGGTCTTCTGCAGCCCGAGGCATCCCCTGGGCAGAGGCCTCTGAGGGCCGAATGCTCCCCTCACCTGGCCACGGAGAGATTCACGCTAGGATTCTGGAAACTTCTCAGATGACGAAAGACTCTAGTCTGCTCCATCGTGAAGAAGAACCTCAGAGTAAGGCCAGGAGGCTGCGTTTTCAACAAGCATCTTCCTCACAAACCCTCCCTCCCTCCCATTCCTCTTTAGTGTCCCCACGTGTCCTCCAGCAATGGGACAACTTTTGGGGGAATAAACCGTCTCTCCAAAATAGAGGATCGTGGGAATAGACAGGAGTGGCTTGCAGGCCCGTCTTTGCTGGCTGCTAGCTCTAAGTAATGGCTCACATCTCTGACCTTAGTTTGCCCACCTGTCAAATGGGAGCAAAACCCCTTTGAGCCTCATGAGATAGTGACTCGGAAGTGCTTCAGAAAACATGGGTGGCTGCCCACAGCTGGGGCTGGCTCGTGTCTGCCAGGGACCACACGCTGTTCCCGCCAGATGCCTCCGGCCGTTGGCTGTCCAAGTGGGTGTCTGCAGAGCAGCCCGGCTGGCCTTGTTCTGGTCAAGGAAGAGAAAGGCTGAGTTAATTAAATCAACAGCTAACAGTGCAGGTTACCCACAAAACTGAACTTTAGTGCCCCTAAAACCACTGACCAAAGGAGGGCTGGGAAAAAAATGAAACCACAGTTGGAGTAAAATGGAAAAAGAAATCATCGGCTCTGCATCACTTCAGCCGGCCACAGGTATCAGAATATTAATTGGTCTTTGACTCGATTTGGCTGTGGGAGTCCGGGCAGGCTGTGGCTTCAGGGAGCCCGAGCGAGCGCCATGGGGCTGGCCGCGGGGCATGCTGGGAGCGTGGCTGGCCGCAGGGCTGGGGAGGAGGAGGAGGAGGAGGGGGAGGAGAGGCTGGGGCCTCCTCAGGCCTGGGGTGCACCTGTGGGTGTGATGGGGTGGGTGGGTGTGAGTGTGGAAATGGGTGTGGGTGCCCCTGCGGGTGTGAGGAGTGGGGGGCCTGTGGCTGTGGTGACACACAGTGTCACATGAAAAGAGCTCCCCCCGCTGGGTCCATCAAAGCTCTCGACACACACTTGTTGTTATCATCTGCGTTGCACAACAGTTCTAGCGGGAAGCAGCTGATTCCACGAAGGAAGCGGTGGAGGCGCACAGATGGGCTCTCGCCAGGTCACTCAGGAAGCGCCAGCCACAGGGCAGCGATGACGGCAGAGCTGATGACGACGGCCGCGCACGCTGAGGAAGTGGCCGGTTGGACGCAGAGCTCGGTGCCAGGCACAAGGAGGCACCGAAGAATGTGGGGTGAGACGAACTGCCTCAGGCTCAGAATCTACTCCCCGGACAAGCTCCTCTTGTGCCTGGGCCTGGCCCTGCCCTCCCTTCTGGTGGCTTCTCAGGGGCTGACCTGCAGGAGCCTGGGCTGGGGCCACCCCCTCCTTCAGCTCCTGCAAGCATCTTCAGAGTGACATTCAGTCTGGCGAGCGGCTTTCGTTCTGCTGCAGCTGCTGCTCTGACCCAATGGCCGTGGAAGCAGAGACCGTGTCCGGCTCCTCCACCTGCTGCCCGCCTGCTGGACGTGCTCGCGGAACCCGCACAGTGACCTGTCCATCCGGGGGGCGTCCCGGCCACTGGCGACGTGTTCAGTGGAGCCCACGTCAGGACCGCCCATATGGAGCATGTAATCTCTTTGCAGCTGTGGCCTAAATCTGGACACGGGCCAGTGCCAAGGAAGGCCTGCTCAGGTCCCCAGGCTCTTTATCAATCTTAGGACATTGTCGGCAAGATGGGCTCTTAGGTCACCTGTCTGCTCCCCAATTGACAAAAGAAACAACTGAGGCACAGAGAAGGGAAGGGACTAGCTCAAGGTCACACAGCAAGTCAAAAGGGCTCCAGGTTTCCAGTTCCGGAGATTCTCCTCTCAAATTTCCGTGCTTCCAGGGGTCGTGCAGCTGGCCTTCAAACCATAGCTCAAGCTGCAAAGTGGCAACTGACATTGGCTTCCGTGTCAGGGAGGCAAGAGGGAGTGCCGGAGACTGTGACAAACTGGAGAGCCCATGCCTGGTCCCGAGGGGGCAGCCACTGCTCAGCCAGCACTGGGAAGAAGGCGGGTGGCATTTGGCCAGAGTGTCTGCTTTTTCAAGCAAAGCTTAAAAAAGCTAAAAACTTGGGTTTTTATGTGAAGTTTTACAGTCATTAAATGTTGGAAAGCTCAAAACCTTAACAGCATCGTGACACGCTCAGCAAGGTGACTTGCTTGCTGCCTGGGGGCTGCAGGTGGTGACTCGGGGGTGTCTTTCCCCGGGGCTGGGGGTGGAACTGTGGGAGGAGGTCGAAGGTTGGGTGCTGCTGAGAGGAGTCGAGCTCTGAGAGCCTGGCGGCTTATTTGTTGCAGTCCCTCCTTGCCTCCTTCGCCTCCTTGGTCTGGGCTTTGCTGCCCGTCTGCTTGGCCCCGGGGGGGTTCTGGCTTCCCTTTGGCAGAATGACCCATCTGAGCATCTCAACGTCCCAGCAGCCGGTGGGGAGAGGGGGCAAGGAAGGATTTGGGGACCACAGGAGCCTGCTGGCGCCTCTCCTGGCATCTTCCTGGATGAGGGGCAAGGCTTCCTTGGCACAGCAGAGGGTAGAGTTGAGCTGCAGAGCCCTAGCCCCTAGTCCTGGTCCCATTCCTACCCTGGGGATTAAAATTTGGGATCAGACAGACATGGGTTCAAATCCTGACTCTGCCACTGACAAGCTGTGTGACCTTGAGCAAGTGGCTATCCCTCTCTGAGCCTCAGTAAAGAAGACACTGCAGATACCCGGCCTTGTCTTCCTGCACTTCTTCACACTCCAGGCAGCTTACTGCCAACCCCATAACTCTGCCTGAGGGCTTCTCCTGGCTGTGAGTGAGACAGGTGCTCACAGGCCGGCCACGGGCACTGGAGCTTGAACGCCCTGGAAGCCGCCATCAGACCATGAAACACAGGGCATCAGCAGACAAACATCCCAGCTCCTTCCCCCTACGGCTGGGAGAATTCTGAGGCATATTCTCCACCGCCTCTCAACTTCCCAAAGGGGGTCCCGTCCAGCTGCCCCCAGCGGGAAATCGCCTACTGCCTCGCCCCTCCGCGGCTTTCTTCCCTCCCTGTCTCATTCCTCCTCTTCCTTCCCAGTGTCTCCTGGTGTCATCTCCTAAATAAACGCTCACAGGAAGCCCTCCAGGTCTGCTTCTAGGAGAAGCCAGACTACAAGCCTCAGTTTCCTGAGCTGTCGGTGGGCGCAGTCAACGCCTCTGCAGAAGTGCTGTGTGGACGCCAGTCACTGCAGACACAGGTGCCCAGGGCTGCCCGCGCACCAAAGTCCTTCCCTCCGTGGGCAGTGGCTTCTATTATTATTGATGTTGTTGTGATACTGGGGCCGACCCCAGGTCCCGAGGCCAGGCCCATTAGGGCCCTCGGAGGTGGGAGCCCGGCTGCCCCAGGGGGCTTTGGGTTGACCGAGGGCTCAGGGTGGAAGGGCAGGGAAGACTGCGGCCTCTGTGGTGGGGACGGTGGAGTCTGCGTAGCAAAGAGGGCTGGGCCCCGGGGGAGCCCCCAGACCTCAGAGCCGTTAGTGAAAATGGTGCTAATGGGGCTGAGCCCAGCTGTCCCCATCACAGGGGCGGGCCTGAAGGAGGGGCAGGGCTGGGGTGGGGTGGGGTGGGAAGGGGGCCCACCCAGTGGCCACCCAGCACTCCAGAGGGGCCAGCTCTGCTTGACTCATCACAGCAGGCTTCTGGGGGGCGGGGGAGGCGAGGGTACCCCAAGCTGTCTCCCTGGGAGGTCAAGGACGCGTCTCCAACTTGCCCAGATCCTGGTAGGCTCTTGAGCCAGGACCTTGGGCAAGACACGTCCCCTCTCTAAACTTGTTTTCTCGGCCTTGAAACGGAGCTGATGATA